ACCGCTCTTTGAGACCTCAAAAATCAAACTTAAAAAAATAAATTTTTCGCTGAAAACTACGGAAAACGGCCTTCTGGTACGCTGTAATTTTCAAAAATTTTCCGGGGGGGGACCCCCGAACCCCCCGCCTTCCTGGGGGGTATTCCATACCCCCCAGACCCCCCGGCGTGGGGGGCGCCAAAATCTGGGTTTGCACCCCCCTACGTGAAACGTAGATCCGGCCCTGTGTGGTGGGACTTATCAAACTTTTTAAGTCTTCAATAAAAATTTCAACCATTTGAGCCTTGATAGCATCTTGTAAATTTAAGATCTGTACAGTCTTATCTTGGCAAGGTTTTGTGGTCCTTTCTATGGTTTTAGGTAGGTTTTTAAGTAAAAAACGAAAATTTAGAGCCCTCTGCTGTTAATTAATGTCACTTATGCTGAAAGACCATAGCAGCATTAAGAATGAAAAAAAGCACCAGAAAAGGCAAGAGAAGAACTCACTACAGTAAAACAGTCTTGAAATTTTTTGGGTAGGTTCCATGGGCTGAAATTTGATAAGGCGCATCATGCGGAGTAGCTAGCAACTTTTCAAAAAGGACAGTCAATATCGTAAAACTTTCAGTCAAGGTGACGGTTACCCTGTTTGCTCTGGGTCCCCCCTTGTAAACTGCTTCATTTTTTATTTGTCTCTACATCGAGAACTGAGTTCAGAACTTGCAGCACCAGCTCTTTGACATTTCTGAATTTTTCCTTTTTATTTTTACCTTTTCGAATGCTGTATTGATGTGTGCCTTTTTTTTAGAGAGCTGTTGACGGATGTCTTACAACTTTTACGTAACACAGCCAACTCTCAAGTTGAGGCGATGATTCGAGCCATCAAAAAATGGGCGAGAGACAATAGGATAAATATCTAAATGTGCATTGCGACGGTATGTATTGCAAGCAAGGTCCTCCAAACAATCTATTGCAAAATAAAGTTTTACTATCATATTCAAATGCATTCTTATTCCTAACTCTTCCTAACTTCTGTTGGAATCTACATACACAAAAAACACTATTTTACATACCTATTATGATCGTTTCATTCCCCCTAGTTTAATTAAGTCTGAATAATCCCCTAATCTGATTAAATCATGATTATGGCATCAACTAAACACACTACATTTGCGTTTCACTGTCAGTTGAAAAATCCTGCATTTACTGCCGACTGACATTGCATGATAGAGTGAGTATAGGGGTGTATAGCAAGAGAAAGAATTCAACCAAAAATAATGGAAGGAAATCTTTTTAAGAGGAAAACAAGAGTTGAAATTCAACAAATCATTTTATTTTGAGAGGTTAAAAAGTTTATGACTAAAACATAACTACAAATCAATAGTAGGTTGCCGAGAGTTCAAACAATTTTGATCAGAGCCACAGAATTTCGGAAATAGCAAAAAAAATGCTTAGAAGAAATTAGAATAAATACAGTATGCTTAAAGCACTAGAGGTAGTACACGTATGAAGGTACGCTATTATAAAAATCACTGGAACAGGTTTTGTAGTTTCAAGTTGAAGGAAATTCCTCACATTTAATGCCATGCCTTTTGGCAAAAAAGGACCGTACATTTTGGTCTCTTTGATTACCACAGAAAATATTGATGACACTACTGCCTGCTATCTGATTCGAAAATTTCCTGACTCACAATTTCTGCGTGAAATTACTTACAGAGTAACATATGGCTATCAAGTTTTACACGCAGGTAGATTTGTGATTATTGGTGATAATATTTAGACATCAACCTGAAAGAAACTCTGCATTAGTAAAATAGGATTTCAATCCTTTGGGCTTCAAACTATAGTACTCGGTCAGAATTCTTTAAATTTTTGATCACTCACAAAATTTGCAAATTAAATACTTCTTACAACACGCTTGAATTCAGGTGCAGACTTAAAGGATATTAAGAGAAAATTTTTAAGTAGAAATTTGAATAAGCTCTCTGTGAATTGGATAATGTTGAGTGAGGTACATAAAAGTCTCAATTTTATGCAGAGAATTATTGACAAACTGAGATGCTGGTTGCAACAGGGACATTTCACTAATTAATCGGTTTAGGGCAGTCTAATAATGGAAATTTATGCTTAAAACATCATGAGAAGTAATGAGTATATCTATCAACATTGGAAAATAGATTCCAGCTTGTGTTGTAGTCCATTTTAGTAGTCAGAGAAATGCCCCTGGTGTATCCAGCTCCTTAATTGTCGCTCACAATACGTCGCCTCCTGCACAAAGGAACGTATCTCAATGGTGCTGAACAGGCCTCAAAACTTTCAGTAATTTTTCTTTGCGCTAGAGAGAAAAGACTAATATTTTCATAAAATTAGTGCCACGCTTCACCCATCAAAATAAAAATTTCACAAAAAAAATGAAACAGCGCAGACAAGATACATTTCTTTGAGCAGGAGATGACAAATAAGTTACACGTTTAATTATAGATGAGGGGATGCAGAGCTACTTACTTTGAAGAGGGTAAAAATTTTGAGCGAAAAAAAATGTCTGACATTGCTAACAAGTTCCTCATTCAAACTAAAAAGTATGAAGCATTGCAGGAGGTGATTTTGTGTGAGGGGATGATGCATTGGTCTCATCTTTTCCATACAAAAGAGAAATTCTGAAAAAAGTAAGGATGAGATGCTCATGAACTGAAGCATCATCACATAATTCTCTTGCAGAACAATTCATTCTGAAATGATTTTGCCTGGGACTAACTTTGGAATGGACTTTTGGTGCAAGGTTATCATAAGATTAGCTCTGAACGATTATGCACATCGAGAATTTAGTTTACAACCAACTTAGTTGATTACATCGAATGGCAAGATTAGTATTTAATGCTTACTTGACTTTTCCATCAACCTCACATTGATACCACTAAAAGCTAAGATTGCAAATTGAGGAAAATAAAATGAAGTTCCTCATTTTTATGCAAAATGAAGATCCTCATTTTTATGCAAAATGAAGATCCTCATTTTTATGCCAATGGACCACTACATTAGCTGCTAATTTAAGCATTGTGAACAATTTTTTCGCATCAAAATTTACATAGAACACAAACTTATGCGATAAGATTACTGAAAGTAAGTCCTAACCAAGATACTAACATTTTTCAATGCATACGAGCTTGTTACAACATACAGTTCGGGCCACTTCTTAGTTTTTTTTCCTCACTTATTGAGAAACCTGCCAGAACTGTTATGGAGCGGTATGAGATTCAAGTGGACTCAGATTTTTCTTGTGAGCGGGCAATTCAAATTTGTTGCGATCAATATCTTGGTTGGGAATTCGTGCGCCTAATTTAAGTTGCACAAATTGTGTTCTACATGAAATTTCGAAGAGGGAACACACATTGAAATGCATTGGTATCTTGTCTGGTGGTTCACTTTTACATTCAAAATAAAAGACAAGAGATAATTACAATTTTGGCTGACTACAGGAATGGTTTGAACACTTTTTCTTAGATTAGAACACATTTACAGGATGCTCTGTGCCAACAGCGCCTAAATAATCTTTATCCTCTGAAGCTAATCACCGGCCTTCAACAAATTAGGATTAAGTAGGTATGTTGATGTCCTATGGCTTTTACAGACCAAAATTTGGAGTAATTTTGATCACCTACTTTGAACCCATGGGCATTACATTTACCTCATGTTTTTGCAGGTACACATGGTAGGATGTTATTTAAGACTAATTTTGGCCTCTTATTTTGCATTGATCAACACATGTGCTGTTCGAAGCGTCCACAGAACTATTCGATGAATATCAATTAAATCTTCCCTCTGCAAGCTTTTAATATACATCTGACCTCTGGATTTCAATCAAATTTTGAGGAGGGCATAGAGATTAATTTTAAAAAATCACAACAGTTAGCAATTTTTCTACTTGTGTCTACTACAGTGGTTTCCAAACTGTCGTGAATTCCTTTTCTCAAATTTCCAAAAAGAAGAGGAAAACAAGGGGGAGGGACTAAATTTTGACATTGTACCTCAGTCTGTTCGTCTACGGTGGAATTTTGTATCTTTGACTCAGTCGCATTGACAGACAGAGGAACATTTTAATTTAATTTAGGAGAAACATTTCTGCATAATACTGCTACTGCGCTGTACGGATTTCAGGGAAAGAAATGCGCAAGAAAAGCAAGTCACAATTTGATTAGTGAGAGAAAGGTGGGAGACATTGGTGTTTTTCAATACCTTTCTTTCACAGCATAGTTTTCTAAAAAAAGTTAGACAAGATGACAATAATAAATTGGGGAAAAAGGGTAGTTCTTTCAATTCAATTACATTCTGATTAGAATCTGTATTATCTTCTTGAAAAGTATGTACTTAACTTGGAAACCACTGCCTTAGATTAAATAAGAAGAAACCACAAATTACATGCTCACCAAGGAAAAAATAATAACCTATCCAGTATAAACCAACTTGAACTCTAAACCTAAAATTTTTGGAACAAGTATTATCTAGTGGCGTAAGTAGATATAAATTAAAAATATTAAATTTTGTACAAAAAGAGGACAGTTCAATTTTTAGAAGATAAACAAAATACTTTGGTAAATGTTACCATTGCGGATGGTTTCACCGCAATATCTATGCTCCTTACTCTAAACAGCAGTACAATTAAGGAGAGGGGGAACTCTTGTATAAAAAAATACAAAATAGGTATATAAAATACATTCGTAAGAACTAATGTATTCCAGTAAAAATAGTAAATTTCCTAAAACACATTGATGTGTTGCGACTTATTTGGTAAGCAGATACCAAGGATTACTGAAAATGAGCGTATCAACGCAGTCCAACCTGGTTTGCCGTGCTCAGCAAACATTTCAAGTCAACATGAAAACATTAAAATGTTGCCTTGGAGTTATGTTTAACATAGGAAATCTTGGAAGCAATTTCCTTTGAATTTGATGATTCATTACATGTGAAAATGAATCATTACAATAAAGGCATTTGCAGGAGAAAGTTTGTTGTTATCTTGAAAGAAATATTTTAGCCAAAGATTTACAACAATCAAATGGAGGTGCATCTTCATTAGTGAGGGCAGCATTTTATAGATAGGTTTGGTAAGACTTCTCAATCAGTAACACTTGAACAAATTTGGATTTTGGTGAACTGAAGCTTTGCTATCAGTTCCCTTTTCAAGGAATTTAGGAGAATCTGTAGTTGTTACAGAGGCAGGGGGTTTCAAGAGGGGGGGAGGGGTCTAGGGATTGTAATCCGGTTAATAGTTAAAGTTCACTTTATACAAGAGCCGCTAGATACCCATTTTGATTCTTAGTCATTACTTAAATTTTCTCCTAAAAATGTGAGAAGTTCCTTCGAAAAACAAAAACAATCAGTAATTGCTTTTCTCAAAGGCTTCTTTAGAATTCTATGCCTTTGGCAAGACCTCAAAAATCTACAAGAACGATGATAAAGTTGTTACTATGTACAAAATAAACTCAGCGCTTCGTTTATTGTTTCAAAAAGTCATACCCACATTTTCTAAGTACGACGAAAACAGAAAAAAACTGTACCCCTAAAATCAACTTATTACTTAGGCAGTATCAAACTAAAAATGCACAGGAAGGCTTCAAAATTTAAAAAATTTGATGTACCAAGAGCAAAATCGATGACTGTAAGTTTTGTGATACGGAGGCACAGTTCATTACTTCGACAAAACTGGTGGACAGCTTGATTAGCAGTGTGGAGACAATGCATATTAATCGATTAGCTATGTTCCCTTTTCCTAATAAAATGATAAGATCACCGAAACATACCAACTTGCCTGCCGGAGTAATTCCAGCTTCTGACTAATTTTCTTTAAGAAAAAAAGTCCTAACTTTACATCTACACCTGGGCAGCGCATCATTTCATCCCAAAAAAGCTCTCTAACTCAACGTAACAAAATGAAGTAATCAGTCTACATGCATACCACATTTTTAAACCAGGAAGACCACCTTGAACATCTTGCTGCTTCAATCAGAAAAATAAGTATTAAATTGTGAACGGGTACTCATTCATATATTTCCTAAGCTCTTCCGAGGGTATTTTGTAAGAGTAGCCGAACTCTTTGAACCTATTTAAACTCACGCGCGTCAGGTGTTTGAGACTGGGCACCTTGGTGGAGCTGTAAAGTGGCTTGGTTAGAAGTATGTTGGAGAATATCTTCCCGTATTCGTCGATCAGAACTTGTTTGTTCTCGTTGACGACGTTGTTGTTGATGTAGTGGATTGTGTCGCTGGTTAACTTGATGTAGTAGCCGATGAGGTCCATGATGGAGCTGAACTTGGGGATGGTCTCCGTGACGCTGTTCTCGCAGTCCAGACAAAACTTCCCGTTGTTGTACTGGATCCGGATCGAGGTAGGCTGCCGATAGGTTTGGATCGAGAGCGTGAACAAGAATTTCGAATCGCTCGAGTTCCTGACTAGAAAAGTCCCCGGCTGAGTCGAGGACAGGAGCTTGATGGCCTCCAGGTGCGACAGGTTCTCGTAGTACCAACAGGAGAGCTTCAGCGACTTGAGAGTATTCGACAGGATCTGGATGTTGTTCACGGTCTTGGCCTTGTCCAGGGCTTTGACGTCGACGCTCTCCGCGTCGCTTTCGCTCCCGCTACTGCTGAGATTATTGTCCTCGCTGTGGTCCACCGACTCGCTGCTGCCCGGCTTCCCGGGGAACTTGACGAGAGCCGACGCCGGGCCGGCCGCCGGGGCGATGTTGAACACGGTCTTGGCCGCGTCGCCCGAGACCGGGGCGAAGGGGTCCTTGTCGGCGATGTTCTTCTCCAGCGACGAGAGATCGTTGAGGTTGGATCTGAGGGACTCGTCGTTGGACTCGGGTGATGTTGAGAACGGGGACTTGAGGTTGAAGCTCGGCCGGACGTCGAAGAGGAGCTCGGCCAGTTTCTGTGATGTGTCCGCGTCGAAGATGTTCAGCGAAGTCTCCGCGCTCGTCGCCGTGTCGGCCTCGAACTTGGGCAGGAAGGGGTTCTCGCCCCTGAACAAATCTATGAAGTCCAACTGGTTGCTTTCCTCGAAGCGCTCGGGGAAAGCCCCGACCGAAGACGGGGCCTCGGTGACATTGGAACCGGTTGTCTCCGATTCCGCGGGGTCAGGGCTCAGACTCCTCGGGGGGCTCTGGAAACTGAGCTGGATCCCGTCGCTCTCCTGGTGTCCACCCAGGGGCGAGGAGAGGAGGGGTTGGAGAGGGCTCTTGCCGCTCAACAGGGGGAAGCTGTCGTTGAGGGGGTTCGACTCGGTCGCCAGGGAGCTTGGGAGGTGGCACTCGTCGCCTTCCGCGTCGCAGCTCTTCCGCCCGCGGCCCTTGTCGCAGGTCTCGAGCGAGAGGTTCTTCAGGAACAGACTGTTGATCAGGTCGTTGTCGAACCCGTTGATCAGCACCGAAGTCGTCTTCGAGGGTTTCTCCTCTTTCTCGATCTTGGACGTGTTGTCGAAGATAATGCCGCCGCCTGCAACACAAGAAAGATGCACGTTAGACGAGTCGTTCAAGTAGGTACCTACAAAGGAAGATTATCATTAACTTTATTTCAAAAAACCCTACGTCTCCCTCCTGGCTCATTATTATATGATAGATTATTATATTATTGATAGACAAAGGGACAGATAAAGAGAAAATGGAGCCATCCTAATGGTGGAAGCGGGTGGTTTCGATGGACAAAGGAGGTGGATTAATGATTTTAACTTCCGCCGCCGCGCCGCGCCGCGCTGACCGCACCGTGTTTGGTGAAGTATTCCGACAGTCTTGTAGGCGCTGTGAGTTTCACGCCGACCGCTGCTGAACGCACTGTGTTTGACGCAATGCGTGAAGTATTCACGCAGTCTTGTACGGCGCTATCCGTTTTACGCTGACCGCAGTGGCCGCACTCTGTTTGATGCAATGCGTAAAGTATTCGTGCAGTCTTGTAGGCGCTAATATGTGTTACATGCCGATCGCCGCGCCGAGGGCTTCTCCTTTTCATCTCAAGTCCTCATCATCATTTCTCTGTAAGTCGCGCCGTTCCAGGCCAAATTGCGTGTTTCAACTATTTGGTTTCTCTCTTAACTTGAATAATTAAAGGTGTTGTCTCTTGTATCTCTGAAAGACGACAAAATTAGAAATTGTTATACTCTCAGGAAATGAGAGATTTTGTCGCCTTCTCTCGTTTGTAATTTTTTTTTCGAAATCCGATTTTTTTAATACCTACACTTAAAACTAGGGGAGCGAGAAAGTAAAAAATTCAAAATTTGCCGCCCCCTACAGATTTGCCGCCATGGGCCGCGGCCCATGTGGCCACCCCCTTAATCCGGCCCTGCCAGCACCCGGAAATTTCGGCCTCCGAGTCCGAAACGGACAGTAAGTCTAGACAGCCCGTATCTATTTTTTCGACGCGCTGACCCTGAAACACCCCGCACATTCTCAGTCAGAAAACGCCATCGGGCGTAGCCTGATCCCTTCAAAGGAAAGCCAGTGAATAGACGAAATAATTTCCGAGCGCCGTCTTCGCTGGTAATGAATTAATAGCTGCCACGAAGGCGGATTGGCGGCATCAGCAGTTCCGGGAAGCCACAATTTTTCGAGCGCTGCGGACGGCGATGAAGATATATTTATTGGAAAAATGAGCGGCGAGTTTATGAAATAAGCTTCGTCTGTAACGACGCGGGAAACGCAAGAGGAAAAACCAGACCCGGGGGGAGGGGGGGGGGCGAAAAAGAGGGAAATATCCGTGGGGCCGCGGGGCGGTATCAGTGATGAAACTGAGCAATTTTCGGAAATGCGTACAGGGTGCTCCAACTCGGCTGTCACGACCTATAGAGCGTTTATTCTTCTCGTCAGACGCTAAGTTCAGGGACATGTTCTCTATGGAGTGTTCATCGGTCACCGAGCGCGAGATCTTTCAAAATATGGTGGAAGTTACAGGCATTTGCTTACATGCCTAGGCAAATAGTCAAATATTCTTACTTAGACTGAAATTTTGATTATTTTCCTGACTGCAGACAAAATAATTCTCTGATCATAAGGAAACGTATAATCCGTAATTTGCTTCATACAGTCATGAATAAGTTTTTTCTAGTCCTTAGTGCACATTACCTCAACATACCTATGCAACATTTTATACTATAAGCAGTTTTCAATTCGGCCGTGCTAAGGAAGAACGCCGTATGAACATTCGAGAACTGCCAAATTTCCTTCGATAAAATGTTTATTTTTGAGGCAAGTTATGAATACTTTTCCTCGAAATTTTCAGGAACTTTAGGTGATATTGCAAACAAAATTATACGAAAAATTGGAAGAAAAATATTTATATGTTTTTCTGGAAATTCGTGTTTTATCAAAGGAAATTTGGCAACGCCTGAAGTTTCATACGGCGTTTTTCCTTAGCACGGCGGAATTCAGTTCGGTGCCTAGCGCTACTTTTTATTGGGTTGAGTCGAAAAATTAGACCACAGTAGGCCACAGAATTTAGAAAATTAAATTCCCTGACATTTCCCTGACGTATTTTGCTAAAATTCCCTGCCAATTTAAGCAATGCCAGATGGTTAAAAAGACATATTTAGAAATAGACTTCAGGCAAAATATATTGTTCGAAAAGTCAAACCCATTCTAAAAAGCGAATAAAAATGACCTAACAATTTTTCCCTTACATTTTCGTCACTTTCCCTGACATTTGACATTTTCCCTGACCAGGTTCTCTCTGACTTTTTAAAATTCCCTGACATTTCTAGGTTCTCTTTGAATTTTCAAAATTCTATAAAATTTCCAGGTTCTCTCTGACTTTTCAAAATTCCCTGACATGTCCAGGTTCTCTCTGACTTTTCAAAATTCCCTAACATTTCTAGGTTCTCTTTGACTTTTCAAGATTCCATAAAATTTCCAGGTTCTCTCTGACTTTTCAAAATTCCCTGACATTTCCAGGTTCCCTCCGACTTTTCAAAATTCCCTGACATTTCCAGGTTCCCTCCGACTTTTCAAAATTCCCTGACATTTTCCGGTTTCCTCAGTACTCCCTGACTGTGGCAACCCTGTACGGGGAGAGATCGGCAACGCTGATTTTTGAGAAAAAAGGGTGAGATGGCTTCCGTGGAGTCGAACGGGGAGCATTTCTTGGAAGATGGGATCGAAAATTCAAGAACGGCCCCAGATGCGAATGTGTCCTTGTTCTCTCGCCCTCACTTGAACTTTTCCGCCCATGACACCACCGCCGCCGCTCTTGAGCCCACCCCTCCGCCTCCTTCCCGCAAGTTCCTCTCTAAGAAATACGCCTTCCCGTATTGATCAGGCAATACCGCCTATCTCGAGTCTACGCTGGAATTCCTTGCCTATCTGAAGCAGTGGCGAGGCGGCAATGATCGATCATCGATACTTCCCCATTTGAAGCTGTGGTAAAGAATCGACTATTAAGGTGTTTGTGGCGAACACCCTGTTTATCGATCCTTCTCCATGATATTTAATGGCAGATCAATCGATAATAGACAAATAACGCCACGCCGCTAATCTGAAGTTTTCGAGGGGAGAATTTGAAAAAATAAGTAAAAAAGATAAAGTATAGCACTAAAGGGGGAAAAAATAAACAGAAAATAAAAACTTCACCTTCCATAATTTTGCACCTCAAAGGGTTTTCTCCATGTCTTTTTTAATATAAAAAAAGAGTTCTAAGCACAGTGGAAAACTAAAAATGAGAGCCAAAGGCGTTATATAGAGAAGTCTCTTCGCACCAATGCTCACAAAAAAAATAAAGAAGAAGAAAAATTTGAATTCAATACGTAAAAATTAGGGCTCATGAGTTAAGACGCATAAAGTTAAATTAAACACGTAAAAATTAGGGCCCATGAGTTACGACGAACAACCGTCGAGCTCGTCACTGGCCGGACCGCTGACGTCACTGGCGCTTTATAGTTCCCCCTCACTTTTACGGCCCTCGATTGACGAGCACACTCCTTCTTTCCCACCCGTCTCTGGTTCCTTGTACAGGGTTGCCACAGAATTTAGAAGATGAAATTCCCTGGCACGTTATGGTAAAATTCCCTGACAATTGAAGATATGCCAGACGGTTAAAACGACATAATCATAGACAGTTTTCAGGCGAACTGGTAGTTCGAAACGTCAAACCTGTCTTAGAGAGCCAAAACAAGGTGGCTTATGGATTTTTCCCCGACATTTTCGTCATTTTCCCCGACATTTCCAGGTTTTCCCTGACTTTTAAAAAGTCCCTGACATTTCCCGATATTCCCTGACTGTAGCATAAATAAGTCCATTCTGCTTCCTCTAAATTTTGAGGAAGACAACGCCTCTGGTCTTGGTGGTTCATTCCGGTTGATTTATAATCATTTTTTTGCCCCGTCGAGAATCGAAAAGGGCATTTTTCTCGGTCGGGAAAACCTCGAGTTCCCGGGAACGAAGCACGCAGATGAATTCCGTCGCTAAAAGCGGCTAGGCAGCCGACCCCAACAGCGCGCCACCGGATGGGTTTCTGAAAATCCGTGACGCAATAAGCCACCCTGAGCTCCTGCGCGGCTTCCAGCTTTTCAACAGTGGCGTGGCGTGCTTTGCGATATATCGATTGTTCTGCCATTTAAACCTATGGAAAAGGATCGATAATCAAGGTGTTCACAGCGAACACCTTAATAATCCATTCTTTACCATAGGTTTAAATGGCATAACAATCGATATATCGCAAAGCACGCCACGCCACTGCTTTTCAAGTGGGTACAAGACTCGGGAGGCTGAGTGATCTTTATTGCGTCGCTCACGAAACCGCTTTCCCGCGAAAAACCGATCCATACTTTCTCAGAACGAGGCTCCTGTCAGAAACGACAAGAAAAAACTTCCCATTTTCGTCCGACTGCTCTTGACGAATAAGTGAGAAATACAGGGTGGCTATAAAAATTCAGAGATCAAATTCCCTGAGAAATTATTAGAAAACCCTCCAACTCATGAGACAATCAGTGGCGAGGCGCGAATGATCGATAATCGATATTTCCCCATTTGAAGCTGTAGTAAAATATCGATTATTAAGGTGCTCGTTGCGAACACCCTATTTATCGATCCTTTTCCATACGTGTAAATGGCAGATCAATCGATATATCGCAAAGCACACCACGCCACGCCACTGAAGACAGTACGTCGTTCCCCGGACGGAGAAACGTAACTTCATTCCAAAGTTGTGAAATTGACTCAAGATATTCATTGTTTCACAAGAATATACTTCTGCAATTGAAGCGCTGGATGCGCAGAAAGGACATTTCTAGGTTGCGGTGTCTCTGAATCTCCGCTAACGTTTCATTCATTATATAACTGAAGCAAATTGAATGGAATCCGTTGAACTTCTACTGAATATTCTTCATGATTTTACAATGCTGAAAATGAAAAATATCAAAAAATTCGTCGAATAGTTTCCTCTCTAAAATATAAATTAGCAGTGAAGATATTGAGACACCGCAACCGTGAAATACCCTCTCAGCACCCAACGTTTTACTTATTGTTCAACATTTTTCTGATTTTGGCATGAGATCAGAGGAAAAACCAGTGTAATTTTCGGCAAGAAATGCCGAAGATTCTCCTAGTAAAAATCCAATTAATGAGGGGAAATTTGGCAACATTGAAATGGAGTTTCATTCTTTCGCAAAACGAACGACGAATAATGGTTGATGGATGATGATTTAGAGATTTTCTGATGAAAGCTTTGATACAAGTTGAGAGTTCATGATGCGAGGTCCTATTGCTCTTTCCTCCCAACAATAAGTGGGGGTTGGAACAACTGTAATTCTGCCGATAGAAATATTCAACGGAGGTCTCTTTCGAAACAAATGGAAATTTAAAACACAATGTAAGGAAAAAAGTCAAAGGTAAATTCGGGCCTTTCAGAATTTCGTCTGATAAAAGTCGAATTTCCCGGGAAACTTTTGTAATTTTTCCTCTTAAATTTTCAGAGAATTCCAATTAAAGCGATTTAATCCATGCCCTTGTGAGAATTCCAGGGAAAAACGTTCACAATTTTTCTTGATTGTAATATTCTATACGAGGAAATTTGCACAAATGCACATGCAGCATTTTTTTCCACACGGCAGAATTGGACCACATTTTGCAATTAGGAACCACACGGTGGCGTGGCGTGAATTGCGATGTATCGATTGTAATGCCATTTAAACCTATGGTAAAGAATCGATTATTAAGGTGTTCGCTGTGAACACTCTGTTTATCGATCATTTTCCATAGGTTTAAATGGCAGAACAATCGATAAATCACAATTCACGCCACGCCACTGGAACTACAATTTCTGGTTCATCCGTAACAACACTTAGGAACTTAGAGAAACTAATAGCACATACGAGTACATTGTAGCCAAGAATTGTAGTTCCAAATTTCAAAATGTGGTACAAGTGCTCTCTCTCTCTCTCTCTCTCTCCCTGCGAGACCTCGAAAACCCTCAACCCTTTGGGTTTCGATCTCGCTGCCCTCTCACTAATGTACACTAATGTACACTAAAATACATTAACTTAAATGGAAAATGTCGCCAGACAACGTCACTGAGCGGTGCATTTTCTCATTTTTGAATCTGTTTTCACACTATTTCCCATACCAGGAAAAAATTATAAAAAACACCGCGAAATCAGCTCTTGAAGCACTCTCACAAGACAAAGCGATAAAATGTTCGCGTGCAAATCCTCCATTCGGGCGTTGGCATTCCACGGCGAAGTGCGGAGGCGATTAGCGGAAATGGAAAAAAGCTTTTTAGTCCAGTCAACGAAGGGATTTTAGTGGAACAAACTAGAAAAAAGCTGAATTTTTTACCATCGATTATATACTTCAAAAGTAGTGTTTTCCAAAAAGTCCTCACTTTTACCCCCTCTGCTTAACCCCCCAGCCCCCCTAAAGTGCAAAAATTACCCCTTTTATTAAACCTCTCTATCTCCTCACCTAATTGAGATAATCAATCGTGGTTCGTCTTAAAACACTCCTTAAATGTTGAAGATTTTTTATATTCTTCAGTTTTGAATCTTAAGACCACTCAAACTTGGGTTTTTTTCGAAAAAACTGAAATTTCGAATTTATTTACCTGTCATGACATTTTGGATGCGCTTTTGGTTTTTCATTCGGAGGATTTCGGAGATTTCAGCATCGTTTCCCGGGCCGGGTCCGGACTTGAGGTGCTGGAGCAGGGTCATCACGATCTCCCGCCAAGGGTCGTCCCTTCACGCCTGAGCCTTGCCGCTGTCCGACCTGCCTCCCTCATCAGTCACGTTCCACCAATCTGTTCACACACACACAAAAAAAATCAACGCTTAGTTAATTGTGTATGTAAATTCGTGTAATCAATTAAATCAAATTTATCAGATCAGCACAATTTTAACGCAAGAAATAAAATGAGTTCATAACACCAAGAGAAAGCGAGTATGTAAAGCAATGTTTACTGAGTTTACAATGCACTTCCTTTAAAGGATTTAAAAATTGATGATAACACAGAATTGCAAAAATTCTCAAAATTGATCACTGAATTTCTAGTGGAGAAAGAATTCTACGCAGTTAGAGAACTGATGTAGAAGTTTATTCAATCTAATTCACTTGAAGAATTGTCTAATTTAACTATTATGCAGTTTTCTAATTTTGAATGTTAGTATTAAGTCTAATCTAAGTTGACCCGTTTGTTTGCCTTTTTGCGCAGTTTTAACGAATAAAGTGATTTCTATTTCTATTTCATATTTCTAAATTGTTTGAGCCAATTTGGCAAATTTGGAATGAAGTCCCTGCTAAAAATGACGAATAGGTTATTCAGAATTCGCCAACTCACGAGTCCAAAATCAGCAATATACGAAGGGAAATTTGGCAACATTGAAATACAGTTACGTTCTTTCTTGAAAGGAGCAGAGACAAGAGACCCTCCACTAGTAACTTGGCCATGGTGGAAGCTTTTACTTTCGGGAATTCAGCATTCTACTGTTGACTTACCTACATGGTTGATGTTCAACAACGTGTTGGCAGTTTCGTTTTGCAAACAAGCCGAAAATGGCCGACGTTTGGGAAAGTTGTTTGGCTTATGACGTCATCCGAAGCTCATCATCGACCATGTAGGTAAGTCAACAGCCGAAAATAGGGTGATGACTGTTGCTCGCTCATAATTGTCCATAAGGAATTGTCGAAACCCCGAAAGTAAAAGCTTCCACCTGTCGCTAGGAGGCCAGCGGAGGGTCTCTTGTCTCTGGAAAGGAGCGACGATTTATGACATTTTCTACATGTGCAAAATTCTTGAATGGAGCACTATGATTTTTCCATTTGTGCCTACCAGCGAAAAGATGGCCAAGTCCCCCTCTTGAGTTCAGAGAAATCCCCGATCTACCAAGGTTATCAGGTGTTCAAAAATTAGTGTTCCATGACTTTCGTGAAACACGAGCAAAACCACGAGGTCCAAAGGTTGAAACAAGACTAAGTAGTTAGTGGAGAAAATGACACAAATAATGAGTATTCGATTTTCCTGAAAAATTGTCGAAGCAATATCTCGGAAAAAGACGTCATGATAGTTCAGGTAATTGTTCATCATCACGATAACAGGAATCTATTTTCATGGAGTGTGACTAGAACCCCGATCGCAAAAAATGTTCGTAGAATGTTCCGGTATTCTCAGAAAACACCGTTGGGAACAAGGGGCCCTGATTCCGTGTTAATTGGGAGCTGGAAAAAAGAAAAACAGAGGAAAAAATCGACAAATTCTGATGCTCGATCGACAAAAATGCGCCGTCACTGTCTGCTCGGTGATCGATGGACCAGTTCGATTGGGTTTTTAATACTTCATGACTCAACGAACATAGAGGGAAGAAAAAAAATGAACGAGCAAAGAATATTTAGTCGGGTTCACTATACGATATTATAACCGATATAAAGCAAAAAACAGAATATGTACATACTATTGAGGGATGACGCTAGCACAAAGGCAGCAAGCCACAAATTGACAAGGAAAATCGCGCGAGGGCGTTACAAAAAATAGTGATGTGATTTGTTCGTTTTATCATGTACTTCGCGAGTTAAAAATTTAACTATCACGGCTATTTTCAAATCACCGTTCAATAATAACCAGCGTGGCGTGCTTTGCGATTTTTGTCATTTAAACCTATGGAAAATGATCAATAGACAGGATGTTCGCAACAAATACCTTGATAATCGATTCTTCATCATAGTTTCAAATGGGGATGGATCGATAAACCAACCACCCACGCGAGCGCCTAACGCGTTGTACTCTTCCACGGAGGGCTTTAAAGGGCACTGGGGCTTACAGATGAAACAACCCAGTTACGGTTTACCCCTCCGAGACGAAGTCGGACGTTTAATTTTGCCCCCCTCCCAAGAAAAAACTTGCACCAGACTTGATATAGCTTTCCATTTCGAGATCGCTCTGCGCGCTTTTTAGGGAATGACCTTTCACATCTTTTTTTGGTAATGCATTCTCTTGTTACCGTGTGCGAATATCAACATTTTAAAAATTTCTAGAACTAGCTCCTGCACTTCACAAAAAAAGTAATGGTTCCGTAATTCTTAGAACACGTTCAAATGCAGGATTCCGCACTTGTTTGATCGTCACACATCCGTTTAAAATCAGAAACTATTCATTTTAAGTGTAGTGGAGATGCACAAATTGTTCGAGCAAAAATTTGTCGATAAAAACTTGTTTGATCGTCACACATCCGTTTAAAAACAGAAACTATTTATTTAAGGTGTAGTGGAGATGCACAAATTGTTCGGGCAAAAATTTGTCGATAAAAACTTGTTTGATCGTCACACATCCGTTTAAAAACAGAAACTATTCATTTTAAGTGTAGTGGAGATGCACAATTTGTTCGGGCGAAAATTTGTCGATGAAGAAATGTTTTTCAACGGGAAACGAAGAGATGAAACGGGGAAAGAAGAAAACAGCGATGATTATTGTAATTTTTCGGCTCGAAGAGTGCTTTGACCTTTCGGAGGAGTGAGGCAATTTGCCAGGAACGAGGACATTTTGAGATTGAACTTGCGACTGATTTGAGCTCCGAAGAACAGTTTGCACCCATGGGAGTGATTGAAAGTGGTTCGCAAAGGCAAACTTTAGGTGAAAGCTTCACTTGAAAACAAAACGCTTCATGATCGTGGATAAACTTACGCGAATGAGGAGACGAATCATCTGTAAGTGAAATGCGCGCACTTTTCAGAGATTCCCAAGGGACTACCGAGTGCCTCGTAGTATTAATTTCCCTCTACCTATAAACCTACATTATTTTTTCCCTATTCTTTTCTAGGTGGAGTTCTTTCTTTCCAAGCGGATAAAAAACGGCTACTAAGCTACTTAGCGGAGCCCTATTATGCTCATTCTGAAAAGTCGATTGCCCTCGGTTTCTCGCAAAAAAGGCAGACGGGTTGCCGACCTGCGCCTGCCTGGGCAACAGCGCTTTTCTGCGAACGCAGGGCATACAGCGGAACAGAGCCTACTGGTCACCTTTGCCCAGGTAACAACCAACAACGCCGGACAAAAAAAAGAGACAAAAGCAAACAAAAATGCCAGAACAACAGCCGCTTTGTCTACCGATTCGGCGAACAAAGGCCCACGACTCCCGGATCAATTGATTCTATTCGATTTGACACTCACATTCACCGTGCAACTACGCTGCCGTGATAATGAAAAACGCCGTATGAGCCTTCAAGCGTTGCCAAATTTTCTTCGATAAAACACGAATTCTCTGGTAAACTTATGAATATCTTGCTTCCAATTTTTCAGAGAATTTTGTTGGTATTTTGATCTGAAGTTCCTGAAAATTTCGAGGAAAAATATTCATAACCTCATTCAATAATAGACATTTTATTGAAAGAAATTTGGCAACTCTCGAATGCTCATACGGCGTTCTTCCTTAGTATGGCAACGTTGCGTGGGTATAACAGTTTTTGGAGAAATGTTGGATTGTTGGCAGTCATCTGCTTGCTCAATGCTCCTCTCGGTGAATGACCAGCTCCCTTAAGCCGGAATGTAGGAGCGCCAAAGAAGCAAGGCCAGTCATTCAAGGGAAATCAACCCCTGTGCAGGGAAAAAGGCACATCTGGCGATTAACACCACCACAGGTTCAGTTATACGATCAAATTGAGCCATCAAACTGAAGCTCTAATTGGTGGAAAAAGACCTGAGGTGAATATGCGACCAATGAGAGGCCCAATTTGATGGCTCAATTTGATCGTGTAACTAGACCTCATGATGTCATAGTTTAGTGCAGTCCCAGTGGCGCGGCGTGCGTTTGTAAATGAGAGAAAAGTTACTGAATTTCCAGTTTGAAACCACAGAGAGGCTCTAGGTTTGTAAATACACATTTACGGGTGGAAATTTCGCAACGTTGAGACGCAGATACGTTCATACATCTGGAAAACGGCAAATTGAGAAGTTTCTACTATTAAGTAGTCTGCCGTACTAAGGAAAAACGCCGTATGAACATTCAAGTGTTGCCGAATTTCCTCCGATAAAATGTTTAATTTTGAGGAGTTATGAATATTTTGCCTCGACATTTTCAGATTATTTATATCTAATCGCGCAAAAAATTCTCTAAAAAATTCGAAGAAACATACCCTCGGATTTGCCTGAAAATTCATACTTTATCGAGGAAAATTTGACAATGTCTGAAGGCTCATACTGCCGTGCTAAGGAAAAACGCCGTGCGAACCTTCAGGCGTTGCCAAATTTCCTGGTAAACTTATAAATATTTTCCTCCTTGTTTTTTTAGATAATTTAGTTCGCAATTTTACCTAAATATTCTGAAAATTTAAACGAAAAATAGTCATAACTTACTTAAAAAATAAACATTTTATCGAAGGAAATTTGGGAACTCTCGAGTGTTCATACGGCGTTCTTCCGAAGCACGGCAGCATATACGGGGTTGTTCCTTAGCGCGACAGTAATGGTTACGGTGTGCGTCGATTATACAGCGCGGAATCTCTCGCTATAGATCGACACATCTGATTATTCATAGTGAAAAATACGCGCATTCTCTGCCTTATGTGGCGCGATACAAGACAGAAAGGGATTCCTTTCATTGATTGAATAGAGGAGCAAAATAAAGACGCCTCTCCCTGTGAGTGGCGAGACGTGAGTGATCGATTATCGATATCTCTCCATTTGAAGCAGTGGTAAAGAATCGATTATTAAGGTGTTCGTCGCGAACACCTGTCTATCGATTCTTTTTCGTAAGTTTAAGTAACCGCTCAATCGATATATCGCAAAAACACGCCACGCAACTGCTGCGCTGCACA